GACTCCATCGATTGATCAATACCATGAGAGGGCCGTGTTGAAAGAGTTATCGGATGAGAAACCCTGGTCTTGCCGTCGGTTGATTTTGCAGTTCTGTCGGTACCAATCTTGAATTCATCCATCTGTATTAAATTTCAGGAAGGTTTAACAATTAAGAGATGAACACAACACAGTTTGGTCTACACAAATTGTGGTTTTTGAACCAAAATATTGAACATACCCAACTGGGAGCAATGGTGGAAGGGTGATCACAGCCAAAGTGTGCCACATGTTTAACATCTGTCGGGTTCCCAATTTCCATCTCTCGCTCCTTTGCAGCTACAACCGAAAGTAACCCACAGAAACCATGTTCAAATAGAATGCATTCATATTGATTGTGTGTTTAAAGAGGGACGAAAAGAGCATTACCAAAGATGTGGGAAATGGACTTGAAACCTTTGTAGATGCCTTTGATCTTGCAAGACATGATGTTGTTTGCAATCACTTTTGATGAATGATCGACAAAGCATGCGAACGGAGGATTCTTTCTCGAGAAACAAACAAGGGAACAGAAAAGGAAAGTTGGAAGTTTGATGAAGAGAGGCGTTGTATGGAGGGAGGATATAAGGAAGAGAGAAGGGTTAGTTTTGATTAAGAAACCACAAGATTTGTGAACAATTATTTGTTGTAGGATAGTAACTTGTTTCTTGTTAAACTAAAAATATTAACATTTTTATTTTTAAATAAATAAATATGACGATGTATTAAGATCAAGAGAAAATTCAAATAAAAATATATAAGTTAAAATTTAATTCACTAATAATACATGATTTCATGAATCTTTAATGAATCAAATAAAAATAAAACATTGAAAATTAAATCCTAAACTATTAGGGTGTTATTTTGATTAAAAATTATTGTTATAGTTTGAATAAGATTATATTCATGTTTATTTGTTTTTTTTTAAAATTCATGTACGATTCTTGTACATTTACTTATTTTTAAAAATGTTAACGTTCGATTCATTTAATATGTGCAAATATCCATTTAAGATTCACAAACAAATTCATTTATATGTTCGCCACATCAAACATGTATAAACATGTTACTTTCGGCGGAAGGGGTGGGGGGAATTTATAAACATGTTCATTTATATGATTCAAGTCTCCAACCAACACTCCTTTTTATCCTTTATTTGCAATCCCAACAAAATATGAAACTATACAATTAGTCCTTAAATTTTTTGTACTTCACAATTTGAACTCCAAAATTCACCTGGTGATTCAATTTAATCCCTACATTCATCAATATTTAAAATGTAAAAAAAAAGAGCACAAGGAAAACAATATTATAAACGAGCCGATAAACAAACTTTCAAAATAACTTGTTCATGAACATAAATGAATTGAAGATACCTTTGCTTGTGTTCTTTCATTTATTAAATTACCATAAAAACTTGGTTCATACTTAATTATTTAACTTAATAAACAAATGTTATTTGAACAATTGACAAACAGTTGATTGAATGTTATATTTATTTACACCCGTAACTACGATATAGTTGCATAGATAAACAACTCTCCTTCATCCTTTGTGAGATGTGGAGAGAAGACCATGGGAGTTGGAACTGAATTTGTTCCTTGCATACCAACCCTCTCAAGCAAACCTCTTGAGCAAACTAATGGCGATTCAACTGGTATCCTTCACCAATTCCTAAGAAATATTTGGAGTTAACTCAAATCTTTAAGAGAGAATTGAGAATCATACTTTTGAAAAATTCGACACAAGATGAATAGTACCCCAAACAAACAATTAGATGGGGAATGGAATTATAATCTGCAAATTTAAATCAAAATAACCTAAACCACTTAAACAGTTTGCTGACACATATTCTGGTTCCATGGAATATTGCACCCTACGGCTACATGGAGCATAAGCCATAAGAAGGGGGAAAAGGCCTTCAAAGTTGGTATGTAGTCATTTGGAAGAATGTACATCACAAAACACAGGTTTACCTCTCCAAATGTGGCTATTGATAATCAAAAGCCTCAGGCTTCACATGCGACTGAGATGACAAGACTATCACTCGGCAAACTTAGCCGTAGTAAACAACTCCTAAGAAGAGTCAGGGCAGGTAAAATGTGTCAAATGGCATGACTAAACCGAGCCATTAAAGCATAGTCCAGGGGATCGTGAAACTCAGTACTAACAAACAGCTGTTGGTCCTGATACTCGGCAGCAATGTCAAAGGGCTAAACACAGTTATGAATTAAACGAACCTACCGATATAATTTACTTTTCCAAACCTAAACTATTCCTCTCATAGTCAACATGGCTACTTGCAGCTCAAAATATGAAATCCTACAAAATATTTTCCAATCCATGCTTTAATAGAAAAATAACATCAGTAACGATAGAACAGAATGTACTAGGAATTTAAGATTATTGATGCACAAAAGAAGACATGGATAAATAGATAAGTAAGGGCAGCAAATCTAATCCTCCATAAAGATTACACCTGATGCATAGACTGAGAGAACTGACATCATAAGGCTAACGATAGAGATCAAACTTAAACATGTAAAACAAAGAATCCCTGAGAAATTTAGAAACCATGTGCAGCAGAAAAATAACAGCGATAACTCGACGGAACACCAGAAAAACAGATTGACAAAAGAAGACATGAATAAATAGATAATTAAGGACAGCAAATCTAATCCTCTATAAAGATTATACCTGGTGCGCATAAGTTTTCATGCATAAAGTGAAAGAACTGCATCACACGGCTAACGATAAAGATCAAACCTAAACATGTAAAACAAAGAATCTTCAATAACTTTAGAAACCAAGTGCAGCGAAAAGTAACAGAGAGAACTCAACCGAACTATGATGAACATCAGAAAATCTTATAGCAAATATATTTTTTCACGCAAAGATGTGAGCTTATAACAAAGTAACATTATAAAATTGATATCAAATTCTCAACTAAATTCTCCAAATATCGAACCCGTAGTTCGAATTATAGCAGCCTAGGAAACAAAAAAGGCATTGCCTTTAGTTCCAACTGGTTGACCAGAAACCATGAATCCCATGTCCAGTCTTCCAATTGTCCAAGAAAATCACTTTCTGCACCGCCCAAAAGGAAACAAAAATCGCAAAACGCATCGCCACACGCTTGGCTTTCGCGTTCTTAACATAAACAAGCAAATGGGTGACGGAAGCAAGCAACAATCCCACAATTGCATATAGAAAACCCACCACGAACCCTTCCGCTCCGAGCTACATCCCCGATCCTTGGTAAAAGAAAATCAGTTTGTTCGTCGTTTCTATCCAGCAGAAACATCGGCAGTTTCCTAATTATATTATGCATTGCACCTGAAACACTGAAAAAATACACAAAAACGGCGCCGGTAAGCCAGTTCTTGGGATCGTGTAAGAACGTTTCGCCGGTGAAGATCTTTTTAGTGACGAACGGAGCAGAGATCAACAAAAGGGCAAGGATGAGACCCATTGGCGTTTTCGAGAGAATGGAAGGACGATGGAGGGGACCCACGGTGAGTTTAGTTCTCGACTAGACGAACTCGGCCATGGACTCAGACAATCGAGAGAAATCGCCCTGGTCCATCTGCTCGGAGTCATCCTTCAACGATTTGGCGTTGGGGTCCACGAGGCGGATGTGGGGGAGGGAGTTGACGCCGAAGAGGTGGAAAGAGGATTGGGATTCGCGGAACTCGATGTCGGCGAAGAAGAGGTTGGTGTTGGAGTTGTTGTGGTTGGTGATGAAGGAAGAGGAGACGAGGGCGAACTCTCGGCGGAGTTAGGGGAGATGGAGTTCGAATTTGTCGTGGAGTTGGGTGGCGTCGAAGAAGATGAAGAGGGAGTATGGGCGAGGGGTTTTGGGGGAAGTTAGGAATTTGGCAATGGTTCGGTCGTCTAAGTGGATGACTCCCGATTTGGATTTGGACTGAAGAGCCAGGAGATCGGCTACGAGTTCCGATTCCGATTCGGCAGTGGGAATTAAAACGAAGAGAAAAATGTTAAACTGGAAAGCAATAAGAGATAAGTTGGAGTGAGACAGATCGCCATTTGCTAGGCTTTGGGATTGGGGGATTTGGCGATAAAGAACTAGAGTTTTCGTTTTCAGACTGGACAAGAAGACGTTGACTTGACTTCCTTGACCTTCAGTTTTGTAAAACGACGTTGCTAGACATGCTTGAGTGAAGAACAAAAACAAATGGAATATACAAGGAAATAATCCTGACAGCTGTGGGATTTGAACCCACGCCCTTTCGGACCAGAGCCTAAATCTGGCGCCTTAGACCACTCGGCCAAACTGTCATCGATGACCTTTTCTGTAAAATAATTTTATTTTACTTTTAAATTACTTGGCCTCTTCTTCTGCTTTCTTCTTCCCATTGCTCACAATAAACGAACGAACAGGATTGTTTGAATTAGTAACTGAACTTGTTTTAGTTTACTTCATTTTAACTGAGCCAAAAATCACAGTAAAAAAAGGCTTGTTGATTCTGAAATTTAAACACGGACTTAATTGATTTTAAAGACATGGTTGCATGAATCGATTAAGTTATAGTTTTTGTTGATATACTTAACATTAATCTATACGTACGATCATAGGCATGATTTGGCATGCTTAAAAGAAGGTTATGGAGTGATGAAGATGAAGTTGTAACTGGTAATACAATTTGATTGCCTGAAAACACTAGTTTCTGGTTCAAAAACTCGATTCGAATCCATGATCTTAATCTGTTTCTATCTGTTAGTATAGGTTGCGAGTTTCAAACCAGGCAAAGATACAGATTCAGGTGGTTTACCATGAAAATGAAGCAGGTCGGGGGTGACTCCACCGGTGTTGTAACAGCTTACTATGTATACTTTTTTCCCTTAATTTTTATATGAGATATTTCGATTGTACTTTTGTATTCCATTGATTTAGTTTAAGCGTGTAGCAGGTATGTTCTGAGAATGTGGCCGAACCAGAACGAGATGGCCTGGATTTTGAGTTCTTGAGGAATCAAATTGGACAACCGTATTGAATCCAGACAAAAGTGTACAAAATGGAGTCGGAGGCAGTGAAATGAGGCAAATGCTTTGGTTCTGACCCCACGGAGTGAGAAGCCGATGCATTTGTTTTCGAGCATGTGGAACACAGAATATGGGCAACGAGAGGTGGCCTTGAGAAAATGTGTCCTCTTACAACCACTTCAGCATCAAGGGTTGTCAATGGGATGACCGTAGCCGGCCTGCGTATCAACCACCACCAAGAACTGGTAGGATCAGTATGAGGCTTGGCATCTATCTTATTCCCAGAATATGTATTATACTTGGGTGAAGAGAACTTGTCATTTCTGATTATCGCAAGGATTATGAACGAAGCCCCTGACGAGGAGAGATTAATTTTGATACGAGAGAAAGTTGGATTAGAGAGCAACATTAATAAAACAAAGATGCAGCCACTTTATGTTGTCATATTTTGAGAGTTCCTCTAGACTACAGGAAGTTCGATGGCTACCTGTTAGCTAACACACAAGGGATTCTCAATATCCACCTCCTAATGATACATTTAGCTAAAATTTGGTGATTCAACTGGCTGGAAAAAGAAAAGGGAGGGGGGATTACATGAATATATAAAATGAAGAATAAGAAAGTGATTGAATAAATGATGTGTAATTTCATACCTTTTTAAGATTCTCCTGGTATACATTAAACTTTACTGAACTGTTGATAGGATAGCCGTCCAATGACATCAAGACTCAAGATACATCAAGACTCAAGATACATCAAGAGAACACAAAATCATCTCCTCTTTGAACCAGGATCACATCCTTTTTCTCTTGCGATGAAGGAAAATAATTAGAGAAGAAACATGTGGTAGCTTACAAGGAGGAATAATGGCGGCTTACATAAGAAATAGAATATTGAGTATTGATCATGGCATTTTTCTCCTAGATTATACGAGGACTAATGGGGGAAGGTAAAACATTCACTTGTTAATCCTTCATGTCAAAAGGAGTACGACTAATTGATCGAATTCCAAACTAAGAACTTCAAATCTGATAACATAAGCATGATTGAAAGAGCCTGATTCAGATTTTGGCACGAGACCAATACTTGGGTGTTTGAAGAACATAGGAACGGAACAGGAAAGGTAAACACATAAAAGTTTAATCCTTTGATGTTCGATTCTACAAGAAACTAATGGAAATAGCTAAGATTCTATTAGAAGCTTATATCTTCTGGAAACTATGCAAAAGATTGAACTGAATTAACATCACAGAACACAACACAAGCATACATAAGAGGAACAAGAGAAGATTAATCGAAGAAGATGCAACAAAATTTAGATAAATATATAATTTTTATTTACTTGAAACCATTATATAGGATATATATAAAATAAAGATAAGACATACGTTTATTTATAGGCTTACACAGAGCCAGGCATCATAATCATTGATATAAATTCCAGAAACCCATAGTCATAGAGTTTAGAAACCACCACGAAGACGCAAGACAAGGTGAAGAGTGGATTCCTTTTGTATATTGTAATCAGCCAAAGTCCTTCCATCTTCCAATTGTTTCCCAGCGAAAATCAACCTCTGCTGGTCTGGGGGAATCCCTTCTTTGTCCTGAATCTTCGCCTTGACATTATCAATCGTATCAGAACTCTCCACCTCCAGAGTAATGGTTTTCCCGGTCAAAGTTTTGACGAAGATCTGCATCCCGCCACGAAGCCTCAAAACCAAATGAAGGGTCGACTCCTTTTGGATGTTGTAATCGGCCAAGGTACGACCGTCCTCGAGCTGTTTTCCGGCGAAGATGAGACGTTGCTGGTCCGGTGGGATCCCTTCCTTGTCTTGGATCTTGGCCTTGACGTTGTCGATGGTGTCGGAGCTCTCGACTTCCAAGGTGATTGTCTTGCCCGTCAGGGTTTTCACGAAGATCTGCATGCCTCCACGAAGACGGAGGACGAGGTGGAGGGTCGACTCCTTCTGGATGTTATAGTCCGCCAAGGTACGGCCGTCCTCGAGTTGCTTCCCGGCGAAGATCAGCCTCTGCTGGTCTGGTGGGATTCCTTCCTTGTCTTGGATCTTGGCCTTGACGTTGTCGATGGTGTCGGAGCTCTCGACCTCCAAGGTGATGGTTTTTCCGGTAAGGGTTTTCACGAAGATTTGCATGCCTCCACGAAGACGGAGGACGAGGTGGAGGGTTGACTCCTTCTGGATGTTGTAGTCGGCCAAGGTACGGCCGTCCTCGAGCTGCTTTCCGGCAAAGATAAGACGCTGTTGGTCCGGAGGAATTCCTTCCTTGTCTTGGATCTTCGCCTTGACGTTATCAATGGTGTCGGAGCTCTCAACCTCGAGGGTGATTGTCTTGCCGGTCAGGGTCTTAACGAAGATCTGCATCTTGTTTGGTTGAAGAGAAAATAAACGAGAAAATAGAATACTTTTGGGTGAGAAAACAAGGGGGCTGAGGTATTAATTTATAGGAAAACTCCAGACGTATCAAACCAATATAATGTTGACACGTAAACTAAGGTGACATATCGACGACCAATAGGCGTAGGATTCGGAATTGGGTGATGACGATTGACAGAGTAAAGAGACTCGGTGCCGTTAGTCTTTCCGTTTTAACGGTGTTCGGTGAACGTCGTTATTTGACGGAAACCGTCCCATTGGAATTAAATGACCCCTAGTTGTCAACTTGTCCGTCGCCGACAGAATTGATTTTTTTTTGGTATAAATGATAAATTTAATCTTTAAATTATATTACTTTATCAATTTGATCCCTTTTTTTATTACATATTGATAACACGTTGAAAAGATTCAATAATTAAAAATTAATAATTTAGTGATTTAAGTTAATAAGTAGATAAAAATCTATTTATCACTTAATGAATAATTTATATACTAAATTTATTTTATTTCTACTAACGTTATAATATCACTTGAATTTTATTTTTATCTATTATTTTAATCACTTTTATTGTTTAATCATATACAATAAAATAAGATAAAAAGATCACACGTGAATAGTTTTTATCTGACACATAATCAATTTTTACCACGCAAGATATGAGGTAAAATCAGGATAATAATTATTATTTAGTTAAATAGAGTAATTTTTTTAAAATTTATTACAGTGAATGACGGACCTATCACATGAGGGGATGAATTTTAAAAAATATATTTTTTATTAGATCTTGTTGTAACGAGGGATGATAAGTTCGAAATCATTGTAACAATTGTCATATATTGTTAATTAATTTCTGAGTTGCTTTATAAAACTCTAATTATTTTTTTGAATCTTTCGACGAATTTAGCCTAGATATGAGCCCATCTTTTAAAAAATTTAATTTTAAGTATTAATAATATTTATTTACTAAATTTATTAGATATTATTTTATCTGAAATATTTTTAAAATATTTTAAAATTAATATTTATTATTGAAAAATTATCCATACAAAACAAATTTTGATTATTATTAGTATATTTTGTTTTACTTAATACAATCCACAGGGTGGAAGTGGAGAAAGAGGCGGAGGCTAGGGGCTCTATTTGTAGTTATTCCATCTTTTTATCGGAAGCGATTAAAGAAATTATTGGGTTGGTGAGACCAGGTGGTGGGTTGTTGAGCACCACAACCTTGTTTCCAAGAAATCGAATATTATATATTTTACGAAAAAAATATTTTATAAAATTTAAATTTAAAAATATGCTTTATAAAAATATTTGTAAAATCTTTTTTTATCAATATATATGGTTTCAGTTAAAGGATAAATGATTTATAAATTTTCCGTATTTAAATATAATAGTTTTAAAGGATATCATATGTTTATTTTTATGAAATTAAATCTATGCATTATTTTTATTTGAAAATATTGATCTCTCTTTTTAACTTATACTCAATTTTACTATCAATTACTAAACAAATAACTATAAAAAATATTTTTTAGTTGCGTACACTTATAGTTTTGATGGATTTGATTCTTAATATTTAAAAATAAATTAGAATTATAAGTAATTAAATTATATAGAATTTTAATCATCTACGTCATAGTTTGTTAAGAATCAAATTGGTAAAAGTATAAACATAAAAATACTAGCAGTTTACGAAAAAATTTAATAAAATTGATTAAAAAATCGTTGTTAAATAAAATATACTTTTTAAAAATAAAATAAAATATAAAAGTTAAATTTTAAAATAATAAAAATACATCTAACATATTTAAAACAAAGTAGAACACAGAAAATTCTACAATCTTCTCGTTGTGAAGACTCACGATTCACGAGTCTTTGTCTATTTATTGGAAATAATTGAGGGTCCGATTCCAATATCTTTTCATCTATTTTCCAACGTTCATTTATCTATTTCTAGAGTTGTTTATGTTGATTTTATTTCTGTTTGATTCATATTCGTTTGAATTTCTTGGATCGTGTTTATGTATTTATTTATTTTTAAAAATATTCATGTTCGTTCATTTAATATTTGTAAATATGTTCATTTAACGTTTACGAACACATTCATTTAATGTTTGACAATCGAAACTCTCTTATTTTTTATTTGTAAGCCAAAGATAAAAGTAGAATGACACAATTAGTCCTTAAATTCCTTAGAATCATATTTTAAAGTATAAAGTACACCTTATCTTCAATTTAGTCTATACCTTCATTAATATTTTAAATATAGAAAAAAGTAAAAGAAAAACGAGAACTACGTAAACAAGCTCATAAATGACTCGACAAATGAGATTATAAATGAGTTTGTTTATAAACATTAAAGAATAGAACACACATTTGTTCGTGTTCGTTCATTTATTAAAGGATAAACTACACAAGTGGTCATTAAAGTTTGAGTAAGTTTTCGTTTTTTCCCACTAAACTTTCAAAACTTACAAATTAGTCACTAACATTATCAATTTGTAACAAAATGGTAACTCGACGTTAACATCTATTAAATTCTATGATGGAAAGCTGAATTGGACCTTTAATGTAACACTCATAACCCATATACGTCTCGAAATACGAATTAAAGATGTTGCATTGACTTTACAAACATTTAAATGCTTAAAATTTTGTTTCTTTTTCTAAGACCTTCATATTTTAAATTTTCAACCTTTCTTTCAATCACATATCATCATAAAAAATAATATTTAATCATTGAAAACGAATATGAATTCAGACAATCATTAAGCATATTAGTGTTGTTTTGTAAAATATTTAGAACTACATAAACTCTGTCCAACCAGTAAAACATAATAATATATATATTCTACTCATTATAAATACTGATAGAGCTAAACTAGATAAAATAAAGCGGTCCTAGTTTACTATTACAAACCATTTAAAAACCAAGTCCGATAAATAGAACTATTGACATTATTATACAGGTCACTAAAAGTCAAAAGTAACATCATAGATGTCTTATTGATACTGATAATATAGATGATCTATAAAAAGATGTTCGGGAGGCTCCTCACTGCACGTTCGTGTCTCTATAAGGACCTACGCATGGAAATCATCACATGCTAAGTATAACTTAGTGAGGCAGTAATAAGCGAATGTGAGATAAAACATAAAAATGTCATAAGTGCAATAAAACGTAAAAAATAATTTAAATAAAGCATTAAACTTTCAAACCCACTTACCTAAGCCGATTTCTTC